GTAGAGCTTTTATCCTGGAATACCTGACACCCTAGGTTTGATCTCTGACATGCACACATACACACACAAACAAGTAATTTCTTTATTCATTATATAAAATCAAAAATCTATAGATGCAATATGAATAGTAGTTTCAGAGAGGTCATAACTACTGATATTTTAATGATGTCACACTCCATTCCCAGTACCTTCTCTGTGACTATGTAAATGGGCATATGCACTTTATGGAGTATGTCATGGATTCTTTAGATTTACTTTCAGTGAGACACTGTATTTCATTTTATATATGTAGTATCACTTACTCATAACTGGACTGGTATTTACTTATTTTCTATATATTTTTAATTCTTGTTTTTAATGGCAGTTATATCTTAATCTTTAAAAATTAAACTGAGGCCAGGTGGTGGTAATACATGTCTTTAATCCCAGCACTCGGGTTGCAGAAACAGTTGGATATCAGTTCAAGGCCAGCCTGGTCTACAAAGCAAGTTCTGGGACAACCAGAGCTACATAGAGAAATCCTGCCTCAAAAATAAATAAATAAACAAACAAATAAATAAAATAAACTGAGATGGCAGTAGTGGCCCATGACTATAATCCCAGCATTTCTGAGGCAGGAGCAGGAAAATTTGGAATTTAAGGCCAGCCAAGGCTACTTGATAACTCTTAGGTATACTTAGACTATAGTGCAAGAAAGATCTTCAAAAAGCAAACTAAGGGGATGGATACATGGCTCAGCAGTCATGAGTGCTTACTGCTCTTCCAGAGAACTGAAGTTCAGGTCCTAGCACCCAGATCGGGAGGCCTATGTGACCTGTGACTAGGGACACACCTCCACACAAAGACTAAATGAACAGTCAGGCATGGCGACTCATGCCTTTAATACCAGCACTCCTTGGCCCAGAACTCAGTATATATGTAGGCTAGGCTGGTTGGCTGCCCGGGGAACCCAAAGGTTCTGCTTGTCTCTGACTTCCCAATTCTGGTATTCCAAGCACATGCTACCATGCCTCATTTCTTTTTGTCGCTTTTTTTTTTTTATTTATTTATTTATTATTTATTATTTATACAGTGTTCTGCCTGCATGTATGCCTGCAGGCCAGAAGAGGGCACCACATCTCATCACAGATGGTTGTGAGCCACCATGTGGTTGCTGGGAATTGAACTCAGGACCTCTGGAAGAGCAGCCAGTGCTCTTAACTTCTGAACCATTTTCGAGCCCCTGTTGCTCTTATTTTTATTGAGACTTTCACATACTGCGTTTTGATCATATTTATCCAACCCCCGCAACCCCCACACACTCAGCTTTTTAATTAAGTTCTGGGGACTGAACCCAGGTATTTGGACTTATAAGGCAAACACTACCAAATCATTGAGCCATCTCTTCAGCTCAGATCAGTTTTGGTTTGTTCTTGGTTTTTGAAACATGGTTTCTCCATGTAGCGCTAGCTGTCCTGAAACTCTCTCAATTTTTGTTATTTTTGTTTTTTGAGACAAGATTTCTCTGTGTAGCCCTGGCTGTCCTGGAACTCACTCTGTTGACCAGGCTGGCCTCAAACTCAGAGATCCACCTGCCTCTGCCTCTTGAGTGCTGGGATTAAAGGCACCACCACCTAGCTTACTGTTTTTATTTTAAAATAACTAAACCTGAATTCATCTGTTGTCCTCTACCTTACCCCCTTACAGGGTATGTACATGGGCTGGTTATCTGCTTCTGGAAGTGCAGCACGGATTCTTGGGCCTGTGTTCATCAGCCATGTGTACACTTACTTGGGCCCACGGTGGGCATTTAGCCTTGTGTGTGGAATAGTGGTGCTCACCATCTCACTCATGGGAGCTGTTTACAGAAGACTTGTTGCCTTTTCTGTCAGATATGGGAGGATCCAGGAATAAGCTAGCAGTCTCCAACTCAGCCTTGAGTAGCAAAACCATGCTGAGTAACTTAACTATGAATGCTAAGATGTGCAAAAATATTCTGGGTCATAATCTCCTTATCCAAAGTGAATTATCTTTCTTATACCTTATTGGAGTTCCATGAACTCAACAGTGGATAGATAATGCTCTGTAGCTGTGAAACTGCACTCAATGTAAACTGTGGAGCTCTCTAAAACAATGGACTAATGCAGTGGAACTGGAGGAAAGTTGTTTTAATCAGCCAGAACAGAATGAAACTTTTTTTTTAAAACAAAAATGCAAGTATTTTAATCATCTTTAATTTTTTTAAATAAAAATGCACTAGTATTCAGCTTCCTAATGAAATAAAACTGAGCCTTCAATTCTTTTAGCTCACCCACCACCAGACAAGGTTTTAGTTTTTCTTTCCTGTCTAGGGTGAGCCCATATCTCTTCTTAGTGTAATTTGCACATTGCACCTCTATTTTATTTTAGAATCTCACTTCTAAATTAATCTGTGAGCAACAATATGCTAATATCTGAGGACTAAAGAGGACTAAGGGTCAAGGTGGCTTTTACTACCTTTAAAAGGACTACATTTTCAAGTGCTAGTAAATTCACATTAGAAACATAAGACAAATGTGTTTTTTAATACGGTATTAACAGCAAATGGATCCTTAAAATTATCACTATTTTCCAAGTCCTTTAAACTCTAGTGCAAACTTTGACCTTTCAGTGTCCCATCTCAGTAGTGAGAGAACAGCTGTTTCTAGCCTGTCTGCAGACCCATCATAGCAGCAGTACTGCAGCTGGACTTTGAATGCTGTTGACACTCCCGTCTGGTCAGGCTGTGATTTGAGGCAGAATGGCCAAGGAGACTAATCAAACGGCATAGTTTCTACCTCTGCGGGACTAGAACACTGCTGTATGTATGGGAATCACTGCACACCATGCACAAGTGTTTTCCCATTCTGTGACCGTGAACGTCGTCCTCTCCACCTCAACTATACAGTCTGCGGAAGCCATCACACTAAATGATGGCAGCATTTTGCTTCAGTCCGTTTCTGTTGTCAGGCCCTGGATTTTAGTCTTTAGGGTCACTTCTGACCTTCAACTCTACCTTTGTGTACTATGCAGAGACAGAAGTATTAACTCCTTTGAATGAGAGTTCTCTCCAAGTTCCTGTGTATCACACTAGTTTCTCACACCAATATTAAGGCTGAAGATAAGATCCTGCTTCCCTGATACAGTCAAATGAATGGAGGCATAATTCTTATCTAAATGTCTTCAGAGGCTACCTCTTGATTGCTGCACTTTTCAGAATAGGAAAAATGCCCGGAAGTTATACTATCAGTTACTTAACTGTGATGAACTATTTGCACTAGTGACTCAGATTTGCAGAAATATCTGGGGAGAAAAATTTAAGTGTACTGAGTGAAGAAGCTTCAATATCAGCACACCACGTGCCCAGCAAGAACATAACACAATTTTCCCAGCCCTAGAATTATAATACTATAATTCAGGTAATTATAACCTTGCAGAAGTGACTGCACCTTCTTTTTTACTGAGGCATGTGTTTCTTGGGAGAGTAGACCAATGCACACCTCGCCACCAAAGAAGTGAGGGAAGTGACAGGTTTAGGGAAAGAACTAGGAGGGCAAGTTAACACACATGAAGTCTTGAGTAGAACAAAGTGAGGGTAAATTGAGAAGCAGACAACAACTGTAAGCTATGAAAACAGTGTGTATTAAAGAAGGGTTCTTGAAAACCTAGCAAAGGGTGATTTCCTTATTTTGAATGGATTGTCACTTCATAAAGCATCTCTAGCCACTATGCTTCTCTATAAAACAAGCTTTCAAGCTCATTTCATGTATTAAAGTGAAATAAACTTGTAATTTTTAATTTAATGATGATAAACTATTTGTATCAGTTTCAGAATAACTTGTTTTAAGAGAAAATTCTGGCTACCATTTACTGTTGACGATTTATTTATAACTTTGTCTTACACTATGAGTGTTCATTTCAAATAAAGCAAGATTGTAAGGATTTGTATCTGTCAACTTTCAGTACATACTAAGAAGCCCCGAACACATGCCTATTCCCATGTACTCGTTGAAATTTGAGCAGTAACTGCTAGGCTTTGAACCTCAGACTCTAATTAGCTGGTACAGATACTTAAGAGGTTGGCTGTGGGAAAGAAAGGTGAGGAACGGTAATATAGACCAGAAGGAGCCCAACTGAAGAGCAGCACTAGGAAATCTCTAGGAAAATAAGGATCTGCTGGTACCTGGTGTAAGAGATGACTGGAGCGGGAAAGGGTGGGACAAATGCACTTTAGGCAGAAGGCAGGATTGCACACAACCTAGAGGTAAGGCATTTGGGGAGGGGTCCAAAGTGGCTTAAGTGTAGGGACTGGAAAGTCCTATTAAGTTAAATATGGATTCCTCATTAAATTCAAGGTTCTAATTATAAAGAAAAGATGAATAGTATATGACATTGACAAATGACCATAGTAGATCAACTCTCAATATATTTGAAATGATAAACCTCAGTAACGATGCCCAACATTTAACTTACAAGATTAAAACTTCACGATTTCATGTGGTCCAGGGGTTTAGAGTGCTTACTGCTTATTGTGGACTCAGAACCAACACGGTGGGTCACAACTGCCTGTAACTCAGACCCAGAGTATCTGACCCCCTCTGATCACTGTGGGTGAAATAAAACTTCTTACAAAAGGTGCCTATAAACTCCTAACAAAGTTCTTTCCCCTTGACCTAGCAAGGCAGAGGGTCCTGTGCAAGTTAATGGCCTCCCTCTGCCCAGATGGATGTTTTCTTTGAGTGCCTAACAGCCTACAGTCTCCTTATCACCTCCAAGCCCCCTCAGGTTTCGAGTTTGTCTGTCCAGTACCCTCTTCTTTCCTGGGGCAATGCAGAACTCCTAGCAGAGAAGATGGAAAAAGACAGCCTGTGGGTTAAACCAATAAAAGCCCAGTCTCAAAAAAAAGGGTGGGGTGGGGTGGGGGGTCATCCTAAACAGTAAACAAAATTTTAAAATAAATTTATAATAACCTATTTTAAAAGAAGTATTTAACCAAATAAAAATAAACTTACTAATGTGTTTATTTTATAAAATGTATTTGCAGAAATATTTTATCAGACACAAGTGCTACAAAAATAAATATAAAATTTACATGTTTACATATTGCTTATATGTACATTATTTACATATTGAAAACTTCAAAACTATAGCATGTTTTGTCCATGATTCTCAATGTCTTATTAGTACAGAAAACAGCAAAAACAAACACACCACACACAACTTAGTTAAATAGATACATGAGCACAGAAAAGTTTGAGGGATTATGTACTTGGAATAAAATCAGATGTCTTAGTTTATTTCATGACCACTATATCTGGTAACGAAAATTTTATTCTATTTTGTTTTCTTAGCATATATTTTTTATGATATATTAAAATTGTTTCGCAGAAAGGCTTTCTGAAGTTATAGTAAATTTAAAAAAAAATCTCACTTTACTTGAAAGCCAACCAAAAAGTCATTTATTAAATATAGACATCTGAAAGGACTTTAGTTAATGAAAACTAGGAGTTGGATTAGAAAACATCAGAAGGATGGAAGAAAGACACTGTAATTTCTGTTTGATGCATTCTGGTAATTTTTCATTTTCTCCGTACCTAAATGAAGCAGAAAAACAACTTCATTACTTGGACCTTAAGAGAATACTCAAAAGCACATTTCTCAGTAATCCTTTAATGAAAAGAGGTATCTCAAGAAAACAATACACTTACTAGGATTCCAAAATCAACTGAAGTGCACCCAATTTGTTCCTTTCAAAAACAGAACACTTGTTTTGTTTGATAGGTGTATATACTTAGTACAAGCATAGTATTTTTTTTTATAAACATTTGATCTGTGATTAGTTGAATACTCAGCGACAGCATTTATATATTGTGAGGACTAGTGGTTTGCCTTAAAAAATGTCTGTCAATGCTGGGTGGTACAGTTCAGTTAGAAGGCTTACAAAGCATTCATAAGGCCCGAGGTTCAATACCTACCATAAAAAACAAGTTTTTAAACAGTCTTTCAAAAGATGGGATGTAACTTTTACTTGGGAAAAATAACCAAGTTTAGTTAATTTAGACTTTTTTCTGAGGGTGTCATATAACCCAGGTAGGTTGCAATGGTAGCCAAGGATGATCCCCAACTCCTGCTAACAGTCTATGCACCACTCCATCCAGCCTGAGGTCAATGTTAGATGTCTTCCTCAATCACTTCCAGACAGGTTTCTCACTGAAACTGAAGCTTACCTATGTGACTAGATTGGGTAGCAGTGAGCCAAGGATCCTCTTGTCCTCAGTTCCCCAGTGCACACTGCCTTGCCTTGTTCCTGGGTGCTAGGGCTCTCAACTAAAGTCCTCCTGCCTGCAAAGCAAGTACTTAAGCAACTGAGCCATCTCTCCAGCCCTCTGTGTCCTTTTTCTGTTTGTTTTTTGAGATAGAGTCTCACTGAGTAGCCCCTGGCAGCCTGGAAGTCTTTATGTAGATCTGGCTGGCTTTGAACTCACAAGAGATCCACCTGCCTCTGCCTTCCAAGTGGTAAAATTAAAGGTATGCACCACCACACCTGGCCCCTCTGTATTCTTAAGTAAATAATTAAGTTCATTCTGAGAAGAGTCAACCTAGTTAGGTCATTGAATAGGGTTATTCAATGAAATTCAAAGAAATCCTACCACTTGAGTTGATTATGAACAGTGTAAATAAAAACTGTCAAAACACTAAGCTTATCAAGTCACTTATTTCAAAGTACAGAGAAAGCAAAATGAAAGCAAGCACTGAATTCCACCCAGTGCTTTACGAACTTACCTAGTTGTCTGACCATCTGGTGACGTGTAACTGATGGAAGACACTCCTGCTTGGACAACCAGCTGTGACCCATCATTAAACTGAACCCACACAGCTCCGTTAGTTAGCTAGAAAAGCAAGCACGGAAAATGACTACACAGAAGACACAACTGGAGTTTTTCTTTGGGTGGGGTAGGGGGGTGGTTTTGAAACAGGGATTTTTCTTGTAGCTCTGGCTGTCCTAGAACTCGCTCTGCAGACCAGGCTGGCCTCAAACTCATAAGAGATCCACCTGCCTCTGCCTCTGCCTCCTGAGTGCTGGGATTAAAGGCGTGCGCCACCATTTTCCAGCACAACTTGCAGTTTTTAAGGGCTCACTTAAAAGTGTCCTATACTGTTTGTTTTATTCATTCATTTAGTGTTTTAGCCCCCCCCCCACCTCCATTTTTGAAATAGTCTCAGCATATAGCACTAGCTGGCCTTGAACTCACAGAGATGTACCTGCCTCTGCCTTAAAAGTTCTGGGATTAAAGGCATACATCATACTTATTTTATTTTCATGTCTATGGGTGTTTTTCCTTCATGTTATGTCTCTGTGCAACTTGCTCACTGAACTTGAAGAGGCCAGAAGAGAGCATCACATCCCCTAGGACTGGAGTTACAGACAGTTGTGGGAATAAAACTTGGGTTCTCTGCAGGAGTAGCAAGTGCTCTTGATCATGGAGCCATCTCTCTAGCTCCACATTTCATTTTTAAGACAGAGTCTCATTACACACAGCCCAGACTGGCATCGATTTCACTCTTGCTTCTGCCTCCTACATACCAGGATCCTAGGCATGTGCGAAAACAACCAGACCAGATGCAGCTTTAAAAACAACTGTCTTCAATAACTACAATTTCAGTTTGTAGTGATCTTAGCACTGAAAATATTTTCTTTTTCCTCTTTAGATCATCGCTCTAGTGGCGAAAGCATCATGATATTAAAATGACTCTCAATAAATTTGGTTTCTCACAAATGTCCACTGGGTTATTGAAGTAGTTTTTTTTTTTTCCCCCCAAGACAGGACTGAAGAAGTGACAAAAGCTCCCTGGGTTATCTTAGCCACTGACTTGTCCTTGTGCTACTGCAAATGGAAAGGCATGTGGTGTATATAGGTGAGAAACATGGCCACCTGACTCAAACAGTCCTGTATTTACACCAGACTTCAGTTACACACTGCAGGACTACACAAATCAATCTACCATAAAACAAAACAAAAAAACTGTAATTTTAGCCTTTAATCCCAGCACTGGGGAGGCAGATCTCTGTGAGTTCGAGGCCAATCTGGTCTATGAAGCAAGTTCCAGGATAGCCAGGGCTGTGACACAAAGAAACCCTGTCTCGAAAAACAAAACAAAACAAAACAAAACAACTATAATTTTACTGTCTTTAAAAGGGCAATTAGCTTTACCAGATTACTTTAAGGGACAAACTAGAGAATGTATGTGGTCGTCAACAAATGTCAACAAGCCCCATGCAGTACTAGAGTGAATTTTTACTTAATTGTTAAGTAAAAATACATGCGTCACACTCCAAAATTTCCACACTTCACACCTGATAACATACACAAGGTAAAGGTATATACACTGACATAAAATTTTGTAATTTTGTAAATTTGAATTCAATGTTGATTTTGTTTCTGCCATTTCACATGTCCTCGACATCATTCTCTACTCCACACAACCCTTATCATAACATCATCCACACTGTAGGCAACCTGCTATCAACATCAGAAGCTTTCTGATATATACCAGTTAAAAAAGCCAAACTTTTAGGAATATAACCAATGCAAAAATATTTAAAAAAAACTTCTGGAAAATATTGTTAAAATAATTTATATTATTGGGTAATAGTTTAGTCAATGAAAAAAAAATCAAGACGTCCACAGCAAGGAAATTATCTTTCTCACAAATGTCTCACCTGTGTAGCCCAACCAACATTTTTCACAAAAACTGACTTCAAAAGCTGCGCTGATTTAGGAAGACTCGAAGAAGAGAAACTTGTTCCTGTGGCAGTGGCTGTGTGGCCAAGTTCTTCAGCTGCAGCCGTCTACAAACAGTAAGGGAGAGGAAGATCTTCCTTAGCACATTCATAGGCCAGCTTCAGTAAAAGGAAGATTGCTTTAGGATTTTAAACAGAATTTTCTCAAAACACAAACTCTAAAATTAAAACACCAACCACACATTAAAAGTAAAAATAAAGCAAAGGCAGGCAAATCATGACTTGTTTTCATTTTAGTAAATTTCTTTCCCTTATTTTTAATAGCTAAAGTTAGAGAATGTACATAATGAACACATATACACACTAGTTTCTTATGCACTGCATTCTTGTACATTTATATACAGTCTTTCCTGTTATGACAGGTATGACAGTTCACTGAGGAAATCTAATTACTTAACCGTGAGCCATGAGGCAGCTGACTGCATGTGCAAGGACCACTGGCTTATTCAAGGAGACATATGGCAAAATAGCTCAGTGAGGCCGAGAGTAGGTGATTTTTTTTTTCTGGGTGGTGCTGGGATCTAAGGTATGGATACATGTTAAGTATATATTCTATAACTGAGCTGTACCCCCCAACCCACATCTTCACCAGGCACTCATTGCATGTGATACATATTTACTTACAGAAGGACTGAGTACTGGTACCTGTGTTGGGAATGCCACGCTATTCATGCTCAATCTGCTTGGTGTTGCTTGCTCTCCCTTTGAGTAGCTTGGGTCCACAGGAGGTGGTGATAAGGCTTTAGGTGAACTAGTATTACCAGGTTTTCTGAAGCAAAGAGAAATGTCTCAATATAGTTCCCTAAAGCTTTTCAATATACAGAGAACTAAAAATTTATTTAGTGTACGTTTGACAAAGAGTTCCAATATGTAGACCTGGCTGGCCTTGAACTCAGAGATCACTTGTCTCTGCCACTCCAGTGCCTAAATTAAAAGTGTGCACCACCACACCTGGCTAGTTAAGTTTTTAAGTTTCAATTTTATTTATTATGTCTGTCTGTGTAAATGGTGTGCGTATTTAGGCACATATAAGCCCCAGAGTGTGTCTGGAGGTCAAAAAATGACCTCTAGAGTAAGTTCTCTTCTTCAGTTTTACAGAGGTTTCAGGATCGAGCTTAGGGTACTAAGCGTGCATGGCAAGCACTTTTTCCCCCAGTGAGCCATCTCTCTGTCCCCTGGAGCTGTTTTGAGGTACACTGGCCTCCAATTCCTCCTGCCTCGACTTTGTAGGTGCCAGGATTATGGAGTGTGTCACCATGGTGCAACCCTAGACATCATTTACAATGAAATGACCAAGTTGTGTCTTAAACATTTTAGCATGGTTAGGAATTGTAAACTTTTACCTTCCTACAATTATTGGGAAGAACGAAGAGCTCCTACTTCTCTTTTCCTCCTCTGAGATTACAGATTCCAGTGCCAAGCATACACGGTGACCCTAGTACAGAGAAGACTGGCTCTTGTCAACAATTCACTGCTGCACCATGTGACTGTTAACTGGATGAAAAACAGGTACATACCTCATTAGCATGTTCCACATATATCTTTATTTCCTCTTTCCAGGTAGTAACTTCACTTTCATTTTTTAAAGTGTAAGATTTACCCGTTTTTTCAATCATGTGAATTAAATCTTCTGTTTTGTGTATTTTGGCTCCTGAAAATTCAACAGAAAACCATTCTTTTATCAGTTCTTTTACAATGCCTGTATTTAATTCATTATTATAGTAGCACATGGCTGTGAGAAAAGTTATTTACATTCATCTATTGATCATTTGTAAAATGGCACTCCAAGTATCCCACAAACATAAGGCATCATTTTCCCTTTCCAGCATGTGTCGGATCTGACTACACAAAGGCACGGCGCTCATACAGAATGGCAGGGACAGCTGTAATCATGTGCTGTGATGTGTACATGGGAACCCTTCATGGAGGGAGACAGTTAAAGACAAATCAACTCCAGAGAATGCTCAAAGAGACTGTCTGTTAAACCCGTCCATTTGGGTTTCAAGTAAGATATGGATATTGTTTTTCATGTAGTTTATGCCATGAACTGATACAGAGCTAAGCAGAGAAAGGACTACATCTCACATATTACAGATGAACTGCTGGGTGTACAGGAAAAAACTCGATCACATGTAGTATACTCACCATCATAAAACCAAACCTCGAAATCAGCACCAGGAGAATTCTCCATCAAAATACATTTAGCATATCTTGTAAAGTAAGTGATTTTGGGAGTTTTAGACCTTACGAGCTGAATAAATCTGGAAGCATACTGATATTTCCGCCAGTATTTTTCTAAAGAAGAAAAATATACTCAATATTAAGAGAGAAAACTAAACATACAGTTGTATCTGCATTCTAATTCCTGGTAAGGTTAGACAGCCTTGGTTTTGAAAATTACCTCAACCAAGATGTGTTATTCAGTAGTTATTTCTCCAAATCATAGCTTCTAGGAGCTTATGCAGGAGATAGTTACCAACAATTATAAATTATTTATATATATTACTGCAGTGATTTCAAAGTTAAAAACTAGATAGTTCACGTTGAAATTTTTGATGACTCTAGATAGGCCAATAACTAAACAGAAGCACAGGCTATAGTTCTGATGTTACTAACACTTCATAGCTGGTTTTCACGTAAGAGGTCTGTGGCAGTGTAACATATGAGCAGTAGACGGTGGAGCAGTAAGATACACCAGCTCTTCCCAGACACTAAGTACATGAACATGACCAGCAGCCAGACTGAAGCCAAGGTAGAGTTACATACAGGATTTATGTATATATAAATCTTTCTTCTCAGTGCATCTCCTGAAAATGTACATACCTGGTAAACTGTCAAAGCTGTACCTACTGATGTTGTCAGTAGGCAAGGGTGGTCTATCAGCAAGAGGAAAGCCTCTTCCATCATTTGGATAATAAACAGTGATCTGATTAAAATAAGTAAATAAATAAAACTTCTAATTGTAACCTGTTACCAAAAAGTACACAAGGTTCTATGTTAAACATTAATTTAGAAAAAGTTTTTTAAAATAACACAGTATTCTAACCTAAAATTTTATTACTAGTTACAATTATTTTAATTTTTCAGTTTGTGAATTCCAATAAAACAGATTAAATACCACATTGTGAAAAGAACTCAATGCCAAATGTTTAAAGTCACACCTAAAATTGTAAGTGAATAAAATTAGTATACTACCATAGTCCCGTCACTAGATATCTGAAGAACCTCTTTCACATATCCTTCAGATGCACACTCTTTCAGAAGCTCCACACACACCTCCTCTGAATCAAGGATGCTCACCTAGAGAAACAGAAAAATTGATAAATTGTTTTTTAAGAACACTTTTGGCACATAATACTTAAGAAGGAAAAGTACTCAACCATAGCAGAAATAGCAAAATCCAACTGCTGCTTCACTTTGGCAGTCTAGAAGAACAGAGATGTATCTGGGTGCAGTTATGAGCCAGAAGGTATAAAGGTGAGAATGTGTAATTAAGTATGAAATTCTAACCAATGAGCAAAAAGCAAGCAGAAGGTAGGGTGGGGAACAAGGACCCTGAAGACAATGGGGGCCAAACAAAGACAAGACTGGGTGACATGGGAAACAGAACAAACAGGATCAAGATAGAACCACAAAGAAATTATTCCATCTTCACACATGCTCATTGAATTCTAAACACAGAAATGCATATTGCTTTAATTTTAGTTATCTTTTTTAAGGCTATATTTTCTAACTTATTCTTGATTTGAAACGAAATGTAGAAAATCACACTGTAGGTATAAATAAAGTATTTAACATAACATGTAGCCAATATTATTTTAAAAATCTTTTCATTTAACTGTCTTTTAAATATAAATAATTTAAGGGCTGGAGAGGTAGTCCAGTGGTTAAGAGCACTTGTTGCTCTTGCAGAGGACCTCGGTTCATGTCCCAGAATCTACATGGTGGCTCATAACTGACTGTAACCCCAATGCCAAGGAACATAATGCCCTTTTCTGGCCTCCCTGGGCACCAGGCAAGCATGTAGTACTCATACATACATGTAGGAGAAACACAAAATTCAAAATAAATATATTAAAAAACATCAGTAACTTAAAAGTTACAAACTTATCAGAATCAACTTGCCATTCTAAAAGCTAGAGGGCACCAGGATGGTGGTACACACCTGCAATCACAGCATTCATGAGGAAGAGGCAGAAGGATTGCAAGCCCAAAGCCAGCCTGGATTACCTACTGGAAACTGTCTTCAGCACACACAACAAAACCCAATACTATCTATCTAATCCAGAGGGAAGCAAATGCTATTTTTCCATGAATACTAAATTTTTCTCAAGTGTTAAGTTTATATTATCTCAAACTTCAAAAATATCATAGAAAACTAAAAAGATCACACTTAAGAATTGTATTCCAAGGAAAATGTCAAGTAGTAACTTAGAAAAAATAATCGACATACCACAGCCTTTTTGGTTTTTTGTCTGATTGGTTTTAATCTGTGAGCAATCAAAGGAGATGTGATGCTTCGTAAGGTAGGTTTCTGGTGACCCAACGTTGACTCCACACTCCTATTCTTGCTTTGTTCAGAACGAGGATGTAAGCCCAGTTCTTGGTGCGTGACCTCAGGCTTACTATGATGTGCAGTCATGTACTTTGTTGTACTCAGCTGCTTTACAGGATGAACATTAGCAGAAGTATCAACATTCTTGCTGGCTCTTGTATCAGTCCAAGCATTTCTTAACACATCCCATGAATCTGGACAGCTCTGGAAATCTCTGTTTGGGCTAGCGGTGCTGTGTTCATTAGTTTCTCCTAAATGAGCTAAAACATACATTAAAAAAGAAGTTTAGTAAAATGTAGCATAATATGTTGATTATAATAGCAGGGTTTTTTTGGGGGGGCATGTTTGAAGACAGGGTCTTTCTATGTATCCCTGATTGTCCTGTAACTTACTATGTAGACCAGGCTGACCTCAAACTCAACAGATGGGCCTACCTTGTCCTCCCAGGTGCTAGGATTAAAGGCAGACTACACCACACCTTGACTCTAGCACTTTTTAAATAATAGAAAAAGTCAGTTATAAACATTTGTGTATTATATTGAGAAGTCTCTTTAAATCAGTAAATTGTAGCTGTTCTTTGCGAAAGGGGGAAATGTGTAATTACACTGAGATGACAGATATGCTAATTAATTCCACTGTAACTACTTTACTATTTACTGTTTTCCTATTACTATTAACATTATTATATATCTTAAATATATTAAGATTTTTTTAAAAATTAGCTATTAAAAAAATGAACTCTTAATAAGGACAAAAAAATAGTTAAAGGAACATTTAAAGCCAGGTAGAAGAAACACTTTTAGTATTCTTATGGCTATGAAAATGGACTAATATAAAATCAAGTTCTCTTTCTTTCCCTTTTTTTTTTGTTTTTTTCCAGACAGGGTTTCTTTATGTAGCCCAGGCTGTCCTTGAACTGAGAGATCTGCCTGCCTCAGCTTCTTGAGTGCTGAGATTAAAGGCGAGTGCCACCACTGCCTGGGGAAATTAATTTTTCAATCAAAGCAAAACCAAGTTACTCATTCTAAAGCAAGTCAATGTTCATCAGAAGGAATTCTGGTAAGAATTCTCAGTCTACAAAAGAAAAAATACATAAATTTTCTTTACTATAAAGATTATTTATCACATTTCTACTTAGAAAATATGCAGCTAAAAGCTGCATAAAAATATATATTTTATATAAAAACACTGACTACCTTCAGTATCCCTAATTAATATTACAAATGTATTTGTACCTATATATTTAAAAGCTCTTATTGAATTCTATACATTCATATTTCATATGGTTTCAGAGTTTACCTTTAAAAAATTGTTTCTGCATGTGTATGTGTACCTTTGTGTTTATCTGTGTACTGTGGACACGCAGTGTCCGACTATCAGATCTCTTGGAACTGGAGTTACAAGTGGTTGTGAGGCACCTGCTGTGGGCACTGGGAACTGAACTTGGATCTTCTGGTAAGAACAGCAAGTGTTCTTAACCACTGAGCCATCTCTCCAGCCCTTCAGGTTCACATTTTTTAAAGGGCCTTAAATAAATAATTTAATTACATAAAACTCTCTATAGTAAATTATCTTTCTTTTCTTTCTTTCTTTTTTTTTTTTGAGACAGGGTCTCACTTATGCAGCCCAGCTGGTCTGGAAGTCATGGTCCCTATGTTTCAGCCTCCCAAGTGGTATAAAGGCACAGGCCCATGTCCTGATGCTATTTTTTTAAGGCCTTAAATGATCAATTACATAGAACTCTAGTTTTTCAGTATTAAACTCTCAGAATTTTCATCACCATTTTATTTAAAATGACTTTGTAAAGCTTCTTTCCTTGCATTCTCATTATAAGGAAAAATATTTTCTATCAAGTAAAATACTTTAAAATTGGAGCAGAACAAATTGGAGCAGAATGACTATATTACTTATATAAAGCTTATTTCTCCATCTCAGAAAAGTCCGTATTACCAAATAAAAATAACCTGTGAATAAGTACAAGACTGCAAAACTAATATACAAGGTAGTTTTGTAGTTTAAAAAATAGACCAACCAGTAAGTATATATGGTCAGATTAATTTCCTTTAGACTTCTGAAAATCATACATCTCTCTCGAAAAGGAAAAGATTCCTCTTGACAGGGCCTAACAATTCCACTAATGAGAGCTCCTATCTCACACTCCACCCAACACAATGGTGAAAGATGATCTCCTCCTCCAGATGCTGCCTTTTAATTCTCTTCCCACCCACCTTCTGTGAGTGTTGTTCATTAATGGGGGGACACTTAATCTCCACATTCTTGATAATGACCTAGGGCCAGCTGCTTAAATGTTTAGGTTTCAGTAGCTGTGTATTTCAGTCTGAGGAACTATGGGCAAACTAAAATCCTCACACCGGCTTCTCACAAGTAAAGTCAGGCATCCTTTGATTACTTCACGGGCAGTGATAACAACAGTTTTTGACACAGGCATCACCAGAACAGGCTTCAAGGTCCAGCCTGAGCCAGGAATACTTGAGAATCCTTGTTCTACTTAATCACAGAGCAGCAGTGCAAACTGAGTTGTGTACCATTTGCTCATGTATAAATAGCTTTCTTCTTCATATTTGTAATGTAAACTTAAACTAATCATATACATTCAATATTAAGGAGAGTAGATAGCTTAAATATTCAAAAATATTAAGTTTATTTCTTTTAATGTATTTACTGGAACTGTATTCTTGAATATAAGCAGAAAAGTGCAATGTTTGGCAGGTTCCAGGTCAGTAAATTTTAATTAAATACTCCATTAAAAACTCACCATTCATTTGCAGATTTCCAAACCACTGCTGTACCATTTCCATCTGAGGCGTCTGGTCTGCAAATGGAAAAGGAGTTTTTCCTAGACAATGATGACTGGAACTACAGAGGAAAAAAAAATCCCATAAAGCAATTATTGGGGAAAGAGGGATTAGGAACAGAATCTAGGGGTACATACACACACACACACACACACACACACTGAATATGTATGTGTTCTATGACAGTAGAATTCCTAGTCCCTGAACATTTTAAGGCAGAAACCCTAGAAGAGATTTAAATACCTGAAATTTTAGAATAATCCCAGAAAACAGTATTTCTATAATCATCTCTGAAACTCCTATACCAAAATGCAATAGCACTGTATGTCTGCTATCCTCTTAGAAGTTTATAATTCAAACATTAAAAGATCACACACAAAATCCCAATTGGGCACTAAAATCAGTGCTCGTATCAGAAGCAGTCAGTACCACAGCTATTCCTCATTCAGCCTCAGCTTCCCTCTACATGCAGCTACTATTAGTCCTTCAGGGATCAAACTTGCTCAGTAAATGCTATGCTGTGCTAGAGATCTGCTCCAAATAACACGTCTACAAATTTAAACACACTTAACACACACTTTTTTTTTTTTTTTTTTTTTTTTGCAGTGCTGAGGACTGACTTGTGGGCACTATGTTAAGCCACTGTTCTCCCACTAAACTACATCTAACCAGCCTATACGCACTTAAGAGACCTTAATCAACATTAATAGCATAAAAGCCTTTTTTGCTTTGAAACAAAGACTAGCCTAGAACTTGCTGTCACAGATTGGGTTCAGCTGCATGATCTTTCTGCCTGTGCCTCCCAAGTTCTAGGAGTATAGACATATGCCACCATGCCTGGCTCAAAATTGTAATTCTATTTCTGTAAGGGAAACACCTAGGCACTTTATAACCCCCCTTGTTTAGATTTAGCTTTGTATCTGTGCTAATACAATGTTTATCAAAATGCTTTTGAAAGAATTATCCTTGCACTGCTGGGTCATCATCATGTCTTTCAAAACACCTCCAACTATTGGCTGTTTTGTCTTTAAGGAAGTTAAAAAAATTGATATTGCTGTGTGTGGGTAAATACCTCTCTTCATTTTCATCCAGGGATCTTCTGGGCTTTGAAAGCATTTCTACTGAATGACATCGTTCTATTGAGTATGTTTTTGCTCGAGACTGATTAGAAGTGCTGGATCTATCAGAGGAATGAGCTCTGCGAAGGTATCGAGAATGCGGCCTTTCTTCTGCATCTTCAATTACTCTTCCCCGTCCCCTATTATTAGTTTCTTGGTCTGGGTTTCCCCATTGTGTACAAAAATTGCTTCCATCTCCTGAAGAAAAGTCACTTAAATTCTTATTTTTTGGAAATACAGTAATTTTATTTGGAAGTGACTGACCAATCAAAAGTCTTCTTCTGTCAAGTAAGCTACCACTCAAACTGGTACTGGAAGACGCTGTAATTGTTGTGGAAATTGTGGCATGCCCACTATCCATGGAGTCCTCTACAGTCCCTAAGTCTTTATTTTTTGTTGAAGGATTTCGTGACATAAAAGGATGGTCCAATACAGAAGACAGACTTAACCGATCTGCAGGATTCCTACGAAGTAACTGGTGGATAAGGTCCTGGGCCTCTCGTGACAAAAAGGTTGGCATTTCATAATCTGCCAAAACTACTTTATTCAATGTGTTCTTGACTGTATCAGTGTCAAAAGGTGGTCTTCCAATAAGTAATGTATAAAACATACAGCCCAACGACCAAATATCAGATTCAAGTCCATGTGCACTTCGAGTTGCAATTTCTGGTGAAATGTAATTAGGAGTTCCACAGAGTGTGTAATGCTTTTCATGTGGCATTTTCAATTGTGTTGCTAGTCCAAAGTCAGCAATTTTTATGTTCATATTACGTGTAAGTAATATGTTAGAGAGTGTGAGGTCCCGGTGTAATATGCCATGAGAATGAAGATACAACATTCCTGTGATGATCTGGTGCATAAATTGCCTAGCTGTGAAGATGGAAAAAAAGAAAACGTAATTCAAAAGTTCTGGAAATTCCAATGTTTAGAATACATGATAAAACCGAGTACACATACCAGAGTATTACATTAAAATCCTAGCCTGCAGCTTAGATTGACCAACAAAAACATCACTCTAGTGATATAATACTAACTAGGCACTCATTTTAATCTTTGCTTTTTCCAACTTATGAGCTAAGGGAAGCCAAATTTTATACCAGCTCAAAGTGATTAGAGAAACTAGGGTATAACCAGACATCCACAAAATTAAGAAAATTATTTAAAATTGTACAAATAGTTCATAGATATCAGCTGCTAGGAAAAAATCTTATTTTTAGTTCCTAAGTGCCAAGTATGATAAACAGGCTGTCACACCCACCCAATCATTTACATGGGTGCTGGGGACCAAACCCCAGTTCTCACACTTGCATGGCAAGAACTTTACACAGCCTCCATTGTAAATATTTAATATATTTCTTTCTTTCTTTTTTCTTTCCTTTTTCTTTGTTTTTTTCCACACAGTTTCTCTGTGTAGCTTTGGAGCCTGTCCTGGATCTCACTTTGTAGACCATGCTGGACTTGAACTCACAAAGATTTGCCTGGCTCTGCCTCCGGAGTGCTGGGATTAAAGGAGTGCGCCACCACCGCCCAGCTTAATATAGTTCTTAATACTTTCCTGCATGCTTGCATATATTTAAAGCTGCAGACACATTATAATAAATGCTTTCAAGATATCAAAAAATAGTATGAGAGTAGTTTCATTAACTTTTCTTCTTTACTGTATATCTTAAAGTTATTTCTCTAATAATATCATATATCTTTACTTTACCTAATTGCCGTTGAACATATGTGTAATTTCTGATGTTTCAAGGTTACAAATAATATAGGAATAAACATTCTTGTGCATGCATACTTTTTGTGTATGTTATGTGAGTTTCTCTGCAGTGTGGTATATATATTCTATATACTTATAGTACATATATATTCAGGGATATGAAAATTGATTAGTTTCATGCCTTGGCAAGTTAGCCTTTAAAAGGCTGTACTTGCTTTTTTTTTTTTGTTTTTCGAGACAGGGTTTCTCTGTGTAGCTTTGCGCCTTTCCTGGATCTTGCTTTGTAGACCAGGCTGGCCTTGATCTCACAAAGATCCGCCTGCCTCTGCCACCCAAGTGCTGGGATTAAAGGCGTGCGCCACCACCGCCCGGCAAAAGGCTGTACTTTAATACACACTATATTAACATCAAACAGTCTCAATTCAGTGTGTGAAAATGGTCTTTCATTATTTTGGTTAGCACCCTTATGACGACTATTGACTCTGTGCATCTTTTCATGTTTATTGGTTATTTGAGCTTTCTCCTCTGTGAATAGTTTGCTCATACCCTCTAGTTTCTTATGATTATCCTTTCCCTTTAGGCATATCTTTCATTTTTCAACATGAACTTTTTGTTATACACACTGCACACACACAAGTTTGTCAGTAGAAAACAAGGAACCTAGGGCCTTGTTCATGCAGATCAAATAAACACGCTACCACTGAATTATAGCCCCAACCTTATCAGTCATACAGTTTGCAGGTATTTTCTTTCCTTCTTTGTCTTAAACTTTGTTGGTGGGAGGGAGATATATCTTTGGTTGCATGTAAATTTTTAAGTTTAATTCAGGCTAACAGATACTTTTTTCCCCTTATAAATATCGTCTTACTCAATAAATCCTTTATTGACAATTACAAAGTAGTCTGAAAAATACAGAAACTACCATCTAAGTATATGGACCCTCTCCCATTTATATTATTTCCTCAGAATAAACTTTTATCAATGGAATTTGAGAGAAAGCTTATCAACACTTCAGTTCGTGTTAACAACTATTTCCAAGAGATTAAAATGTATAAAAGCTCCATTAAGCCAGTGTGATGGTTCAGCATGTAAAGCTGCTTGCAACTAAGTTTGATGAACTGAGTTTTATATCTGGAATCCACATGATACAAGGAGAGCCAACTCTCTAGACTGATCTCTGACTATACCATAACACACAAATGAATAACAAATACTAAAAACAAAAGCAAAAGCCTATCAGCAGCCTTATTCCTTAGCTCTATCTGCAGGATCAGTATCAGTTATAGCTTGGAAAAAAGATCAGTAGTTTGACAACATATGGACCTTATCTGATTTGAGAAAATGGGGGGGATGAAATTCATTTTGTATGTCACAGAAAAACACTAGGTATGGAAAATCTTTGTCATTATGTTCATTTAAGTATTCACTGTGAGAATATATTATATGGGGAGTCTCAACCACTCCATGCTTTAGAAGTCGAGCAGTAAGTTAAAGGAGTTCTGGCACAATGCTCTCAATGTTTATTTGGAAACTTTAGTCATCAAACACATTATATATAGTTTTCCAGATTTGACAGGATTTATAATAAATTGTTACCAATGATTTAATTTAAAATGTGTTTTGGAGAACAGAAGGCCAACAAACTTCTTTCTCTACTACTGCGATATGTGATTTATAAATACCAGCTTTTGAGGGGACACAATTTAATAAAATAACAATTGAAATAGTTTTCTTTGTGGTTGAAGAGATGGCTCAGCTGTTAAAAGTGCATACTGCTCTTACAGAGGACCCAAGTTCTATTCCTAGCATCCATGTTAACCCTCCATGGGCATGGGCACCTACCTGCACTACATGCACATACCCATACACAGGTGCACACTCATACACACAGCTTAAAAAAAATATTGCTGAGGCTGAAAGGACTGCTCAGTGCTTAAGAGTCCTGGCTGATCTTCCAGAGGACCTGATTCCCAACACTCACATGGTGGCTCATGATCAAATTCCAGAAGATACAACATCTTCTGCATTCCCTGGGCACCAGGCACACATGTGGTGCACGGACATACATGCAGGGAAAATCCCATGTCTCGAACAAACAAAAACAAAATAATAATCATTTAATGTTCGGATTTAGCTCAGTGGTAGAGTGCTTGCCTAGCAAGTACAAGGCCCTGCGTTCGGTCCTCAGCTCCGACAAAAAAAAAATATATATTTTATTTATATATATATATATATATATATATATAAATAAAATATATCTATATAGATAGATAGATAAACTAAGCTAGGTGTAGTGGCAAACATCTTTAATCCCAACACTTGGGAGGGCAAAGATAGGAGTCTCCTTGTCATTTCAAGATCAGTCTGGTCTATATATTGAGTTCCAGGACAGCAAGAGCTACACAGTAGAGACCTTATCTCCAAAACACAAAACAAATTTTTTTACTAAATATTACAAAATAGCACATTTTCAAAACAACACCTTCAAAAGCCAAGTATTTACCAAACAAACAGAAAAAAGAGAAAAACTCTATACCCCAACCCAAAAAAAGACACCTACCTTCACTTTCTGAGAAAGGTTTCATTCGGTTCTTTAGATACCTGTTCATTTCTCCATTATGGCACATTTCTAACACCAGATATACATAATTGTTATCTTCAAAGTAATTATAAAGCTAAAACAGAAAAGGGTGCAGTCAATTACACAAACATCCAGCTTTCTTAACTGCTTGTATACACCTGTATCTTACCTCCAAAACAGAAGGGTGTTTCAACTGGCAATGTATTTTCACCTCATTCTGGACTCTCTGTACCATTCCAGCTTTGTACATGGCTTTCTTATCTATCTAAAAATAAGAGAGGCCAGATTTATTTGATTTTATGATGTGTGGTTTGAACCCAGGGCCTTGAGCATGCTAGAGGAAAGCACTCTACCACCAAGCTATACCCCTAAACCCAGACAGAAGTCACAACATCAATCTAAAATTGTCTGAAGTCTTTTTATATGTTCCACCCTTGCACCTAGCAGAATGAATTCTCAGTTTGTCCAGTGTATTTATGTTGTAACAGAGAGTGGACTTTCGATCTTCCTTTTTCCAACTCCTCAGAGCTGAGATTACAGGCATTGCACTCCCATGCTCGACAATAATGGTAGTTTGGATTATTATAGCCACATATAAGCACTTTATTATAAATAAATTGTCCTGACTTCTTCCCATTACCTTAAGTATTCATAGTAACAAAATGTACTAGTCTCCTGAACACTAATAAAGTATAAAACCTTCACTTAAGCAAGGCAAAAGGGTCTCTTAAATGTCCCCAAGTTCAGCTGCTGCACATAGCAACACTGTCTTTTGGCTAATGTCTCTCTCACTCTCTCTCTCTCTCTCTCTCTCTCTCACACACACACACACACACACACACACACACACACACACACACATATACACGGTAGGGTGGAAGTGTGCACAGCCTCTAGTTGATAAAGACTGTGACATTTTAAATAGCATGCCTCTCTAGTCTCTTGCAAAATACTGAAGAAAGGGTCACTAATACATTCTTACCATTTTGATTGCAACTTCCAAACCGGTGTGAATGGACTCAGCTCTGTAGACTCCTGCAAATGATCCTTTACCGAGTAGATTTCCAACCTTAAAGTCCTTTAAAAAATTAAAGATTATATGTGATGACTTGCAGAACTAGAAAGTAAGAAAGTTGGGTAGGAACTGGAATAAATCTGGTAAAATGGGCCAGAGAGGAAATATGACAAGGTTCAAGGAGCCATCAGACCTCGATGATGCAGGTGTCTGGGATGGAAGGCATCTTGATGCTCCACGGGACTTCCTGAGCTCCAGCCGGGATCGAGATTGAGCCCTCTAATGAGCTGGTTAGCTCGGCTCCCTCCTCCCGACCACCCGGCTCCCGCCGCCGCTCCCGCCACGGTAACCGCCGTCCCCGGGGAGGGGCAGGCGGAGCAGCTCCCCGAGCGCGGCTTTGGAGGCGGGAGTGGGGACCCGACACCAAGCGATGGGGACCGGGCGGGGCCCACAGCTGGAGATACACCTGCTGGGTACCAGGCGCCCCACGGGAGGGGGGAGGGGCGAGGGGCGGGTCACTCCGCCCGCCTCTCCGCAATCTGTCCCCACCACAGAGCCCTCCTGCCTCTCCTCTGTTCGCCCGCAGCACCCCAGCCTCACCGAAGTGGTCACTGAGCACCAGCGAGCGCCTTAACCAGGGCGTCCTAGAGCCCGCGCTCGCCCGTCCGCCCGCCTCGCTTCACCGGTGTCTGTCCCAAGCCTTATCCGGATCTTCTTCTCTCCAGCACTGCGCTCGCCTCGCTCAGCCGGTCCCCGAAGACCAGCGCGTGCTTCACCCAGACCTTCCCTCAGCTCCGCGTCTGCCCGCCTCACCTCGATCCTCTCCCCGATGCACGCCGCCATGTTCCCGGGCCGCTGGCGCCCCGGACTCGGCCGTCTCGCAGTCCCTCCGAGGCAGCGCTCCGAGCAGCCAGCGGGTCTTGGCGCCCATCGGGCTGCACTCTCTATGCCGCCGCCGCCGCTGGCGACGCCGCCAACGCCACCGAAAGGTACCCCCGGTACCTCCTGAGGCCTGGGCGGCGCCTCCGTGCTCCCATTTTGAAAAATTCCCGCCGATCTCTGAACGAGCCAGCCTGGCGGTGACGTCAGCACGCTCGCGGCTTCTGAGAGGATGAGTGATGCGCATGCGCAGGAGGGGATTCCGGGCGTCGGCGCTCTAAGCCGGAAGTGGATAATATTTTGAGGGAAAGTGATCAGTGCGAGACTGACCAAAACGCCGATTAACCATGAACGTTTGGAACTGGCAGGTTATGTCTCGACTCAGTTTCAGAGCCAGGGGCAGAGCGCAATAGTAGAGGGCCTTCCTAGCACGCGCCGAGCCTTGGCTTTCCCTAGCAAATCTTTTGAAAAGGTTTTTAGACTTACATAAAGAGAACTGGGGAAAAGTCCAGCCGGCAGTGGTGGTGCACAGCTTTAATCGCAGCCTTTGGGAGGCCGAGACAAGCGGATCTCTGATTTCGAGGCCAGCCTCATCTACAAAACGAGTTCCAGAACAGCCAGGGCTACACACAGAAACCCTGTCTTGGCATTGCCTTCCTTAGAACACCCTCCATGTACACGGTTGGGGTATTTCCTTTACAACTATTAATGTGTATGGTGATTTAAGAAAATGAACTGCATAGGCAAAAGTGCCATTTAAAGTAAAATAAGGGCTGGAGATGTAATTGAGTGGTAAAATGCTTGCTTAGCACACCCATGTCCCCGGGGTTCCAGTCACTTCTCTCCCAGTAGCACTCCCGCCACCCCCCACCCAGTATTAAAAGCTGAGCATAGCGACTCATTCCCGAAATTACAGCATTTGGCAGACTAAGATAGTGTTGCCCTCAGTTTGGGGCTAGCCCTGGAGTCTTTAACATGTTCTAGGCTGCCCTGGGCTACCTGTCTCACAAAACTTTATTCTGAGCCCTATGTGAGTAAGTGACTTAGACTAGGGAATTAACACAAGTTTCCTTGAAAAGTGTTCTGAAGAAAGAGCAGGTGTAAGGATCTTTACAAGCAGAAAAAGAGGTAATTACAAATCAGTAAGTGTACAGTCAGGGGTTTGCTTTTTTAGCCTAATTGTCCTGAGATGTTAAGTCAGCTATAAGAAGATCAAAAATAAGACTTGTTTTCTGAAGGCCCCAAGTAGTGTGTTATCTCTCAGTCTGCCTGTGTTGTATCTTCTTTCAATAGAAATCCTAATACTGTTAGTCAACCAGGTCTAGATTGCTTTTCCCAAATACCAATGACTCCAGGACAAGTAGTGAGGTATGGAAAAAGATTCATTTGGGAAGCCAGCAAACCAAAAACGGCGGCTTTCTGGTAACCAACAAAGATCATCTTAGGGGACCCCGGGTCTCAAAGGGCAATTTATAGTCAGGAATAGGAGCAAGATGCAGTGGACACTATAAGTGAGGCCCTCATTAGGGGCCTTTTTTGTCTTTGTAATATCCTTGAAATAACCAAATTTAGGCCAGTCTCCACATTTTTTTTTCTAGATGAACACATTGTTACCCTGCAAGCTAAGCATTATTTCACAAGTACTTGGCCAGAACTTTTCAGTTACTGTGAAAATCTGTGGGGTTTGAAGCAGTGATTGAGAACTTGCTGCTCTTGGAGAGGATCATATTTGGTTATCAGCATTCATAGCTATCAGCTCACCTGTTAACTCCAGGTCCAGGGTCTCTGATGCCATCTTCTGGCTTCTGTAGGCATCACACTCACGTACACAAACCCTTGGTCACATCCTTTACAAAAATAAAATCTAAAAACAAAAACCTATTGATCTCACTAAGTGCCAGACATCCTCAGAGTTGCTTGAAAACAAAGATAAATATGCCTGCCATTTGGAGCTTGCACTTTTGTGTGAAAAGAGATACTTTATAGTTAACCTGTACTTTGCATATACACAGTGATAACTATACATCATCAAAAAATACCTGGAATTTAATGGGTTCAGTTTTAGTTTAAGGAATATTTACATTTATAGAAACATTCTCTTATTTTCAACAAGATTTAATGTTCCAGAATTTTAATTTCAAGCACATGAGCATATAGAATTTCTTTTGTAATGTCTTAATAGGCAATTTTTTGACAGAGTCTTGCTATGTACCTCAGGCTGGCCTTGAACTCCAGATCCTCTTTCAAGTGCTGGGATTTTAGGTGTATGCCACCATATCTGGCTTCATAGGTGAATTAGACTGTTGTCTAAATTCTGTATGACAGGCTTTGGTATTCCTGGGCTTTACCTTGTGGCCTTACTGTTTTTGTAAATATTCCATGTGTATTTAAAGTTTGTCTGAGTCCATTCAAAAGTCCATGACTATTGATGTAAGTCTATTATATCCAGTCACTTTTGGTTCTGTTTATGTATGTAGTGCCTTCCATTATCACTGATGCTGTGGGCCTCACCCTCACTGCATTACTCTCTGTTCTGAGACTGCTGTGTCAGAGCTGTTCTCTTTCTGGGGAATTATCTATAAGCAAAGCGTACCACTGACTTCTAAATATTTCATTTGTACTATTCATGTACAGGGCACAAAATATTTACATCAACACATTTGGTAGGTATTTTCTTAGCATAACTCTTCTTCTATTATATCATTTTGGGGTCTGAAAGCCACAAATAGTCTTCAAACTGTCAAATGTCTGACACCTCTTAGTTAGTGGTAGTTAGGTTTTTATTTGCTTACTTGGATACAAAGTCTCTGTAGCCCTGACTAGCTTGGTATGGGTATGTGGATCAGGCTGGCCTCTGTCTGCTTACCTAGTGCTGAGATAACCAAAATAAGTACCCCATCTGGCTCCCAGATTGTTTATGTTGTTTGATTTCTGTGTTTTCTTTGCTGCTTTTATGCATTTAGTAAAATTTGTTTCAAGTTACCTCCTATTCTTAATGTCATTCTTGTCTTCTCCAGTCACTAAGAAAATCATTTTATGTTTATCCTGCTCTATTGGCAGTGAGTAAACAGGTGGCCAAAAGCATCACTGCGGAAAGAGTGCTGGGATGCTGACATCATGCTGCCTGTGGATTTGTGGGCTGTGTGAGCCATCTTGAGTATTTATCCAAAGGGCGAAATTTTGAGGGTAAATTATAAAAGATAAACATGTAATCTGACAGTTCTTCCTTACCTCTAAAAATGTTCTCTTTTATATTACATAGGTGGAGTTTTTTTTTTTAAAAAGAAACCCTTTCAAATTTTCAACTTATGAGCAGCTGAAATGAATAAATGCTTATAATTCACCCATCTTTAGAATATGTGTATTTCATTGGGAAATTTAAAGTACATGGTATAAATGTTTTTTTTTTCAGATTGAGGATTAATTTTTTACAGACTATCTGACCACCCCCAGAAGATTAACATTGCATACATTTTTATCAGGCACAGCAATTATTTTTGTGCCTGGAACTGGCTTTGTAGATCAGGCTGGCTTTGAGCTCACAGAGATCCTCCTTCCCCTGCATCCCAACTGGGATTAAAGATGTATACCACCACACATGGCTTCATCTTGTTTTTTGAGCTGTGGTATCTCACTAAACCTGCACCTCACCAAATAGCTAGATTAGATCGGTCATCAAGCCCCAGGGGTCTGTTTCCATTTCCTTGGTTAGTGGCAAGTACCACTACTAACCCCAGCTTTTTTTTTAAGTGGGTGCTCCAGATCCACATGCTTGTACTTGCATTTTATATCTTCCCAGCCCCAGGAGCAGCAGTTCCTTTTTATTATTTTTATTATTATTTTTATTATTATTGTACACACACACATGCCATAGTCAGGACAACTTTGTATAGTTGGTATCACTCCTTCCATCATGGATCTAGGAAATAGATTCAGATCCTCAGGCTTACATACCAAGTGCTTTTATGGGTTGAGCTGCCTCGACAGCTCCAGGAGCAGCAAGTCATAAACAGAGGACTGGGGAAGAAGTTCTTCTCAGCCTACTGAGAATTTCCAAAGCTTTCTTTCCATCAACACATCTAACATTCACAAACTACCATATAAGATTTTAGAATTAAGTATCTGAAAGTTTGCAAATCTTGCCAGGTTACTCAAAAACTCTCATTGCTATGCAAATTTCTTTAAAATAATTTGGTGACCTGTCCTCAATGTTTCATGTAATGTAATGAGTAGAGTTCAACACTTGAAAATTAAACCTCTTGTGTGCAAAACTCATGGTTCAAGGAGCAGGTAGAACATGTATTTATTATTATTACATGACTTCTTGACAATGTGGACTGATATCCAAAAATGAACTGCATTTATTATCAATTGTTATTTGTTTCCTAGTATGAAGATGCAATTTACATACATAGGAAATATTTTATATGCTTTGATCATTCCATATGCAAACATTTTGTGGATATATTTGTGAACCAAAGTCATATTACAAAACAATAATTGTAGAATATTATCAGTTAACATTGAAAGCCATTCTTATGTCTGTTCATTAAATGTAATGGTCTATTATGTCAAACAAAATTATTTTTATAGGTATGTCACATTTGATTACAGTTTTCTGCATGGCAAACAGAATTGAGAAATCAAATGTACAGTTCTAAAAGGACAGAAACTAAGAAGAGTTACTAAGAAACTGTCAAAAGTTACTTTATAGGAATGACTGGAGTAGAGTCACTTTTTACATATTTATAATGGTTGTGAAGATGACTGGAATACCATTTTACTAGAACTGAACAATTTAGTATAGATTCCTTTAAAAACTGTTTCTGTATAGTGTGATGTTAAGTAACAGTGGCTTCTTTCTACCAAATCTAAGAAGTGACCACTTGGTGTTAGGACACTCCTTCCAAGACACTAAGCCACAAAAGTTTATTTTAGAGAAAAATGTACACTGTAAAGCTTTTTTTACCTAGTTTTTCATTTTAAATTGTTTTTTAACATCTACATTCTAAGCATGCTGACATGATTTTAAAAGTATTTTCACTTAATTTCTCAGAAGGAACAAACTTAGGAAACTAAAAATAATAACACCTAGAAAGATGTATAATGCTTATTTTTAATCAGAAAGCATCATGGAATCAAAGGTGTCTGCTCTTTAACTTTCTGATGGCCTTTGTTATTTTGTCATACTTAACAGACAACATGTACAAATTGACTTCTTTTGGTCCAGAACTACTTCAAATTACTTAACACCCAAAAGATAGAGAATCTATTCAATGGTACTATTAAAACTGAAGATTATTAAAATTGGAGGTGTTGAATATGGAAATGTATAATCTGGTTTATTTCATATGAATTAAGAGCCCCAAATCCTAAACGTAAGACTTAGTACTAAAAAGGAAACAAAGGGCTGGTCATGGTGGCACACACCTCTAATTCCAGCACTGGAGGCTGAGGCATGAGGATCACAAGGAGGAGGCCAGCCTGAACTACATATCTAGACCTAGTCTCAAAAATAAGTGGAGAGAAGCTCCTAAATCTATCTAAATTGCTAATTAATCATCAGAGTGACAAGATGCACTCTTTCAATATCATAAAAGAGTGGAATTAAAGGAAAATCAAGATTTTAAAAGAGCACTGCATTTGAAAACACTGGGCATTTAAATGACATTTTACATACCTTTGATTGTGAACATGTTATTTATGTGCTATAATACAATCTAAAACATGTTGTATCTCACTGTCTCTTTATAGGATAAGTACATTTTAAGGTCTTAATATGTTTCTTTAATCATCCTGTGACTCAGGTGATAATGTTTCATACTCCAAACAAGGGCCATGTTATTTTCATTAGCATGGATTTGATTACTTCGTATATCAGATATATGGTCATGTTTTAGTTACTATCTTTGACTCCTTGAATTGAAAGCTCCTGGTTTCAATATATTTTGATGAATATGCCTTTTCCGTTACTATTTCCTCTAATAATATGCTAGATGCATCCTTAAAGATCCAGAAGTCGAGGACGCCTTTGCAGCTGTAAAATGCTGACCATTTCTACTGGGATTTCAGTTTTCAACTTTCCTTTGAAGCAGTTTGATTTTCAACATTTTTAATATTCTAGATGCCCCTTTACTCTTTAATGTAAGTAAGAATTTAGCCATGTTTGATTGTTTGAATGATAATGGCTCCCACAGGCTCATATATTTGAATGCTTAGTCACCAGGGAGTGGAACAGTTTGAGAAGGATTAAGAGAATTAAAAGGCAAAGAATGTTAGTGAGTCCCTCTACCCAAGAGCTGCCCCCAGACCTATTACATAAAGTTAGTACAAAGGACTTAATTTGTCAGAGTTACCAACCTCTGGCTATCAAAACCACAGGGGGATTCCTTCTGGAATTGTTTCAAGGGTCTCCATTACATTTCAAATGCATAAGAATTGAACAATGGCTTTACCTATTTTAGGTCACACTGATCTAGTCACTTTGTCAAGGTCTCTCACTTTTTCAGGTGGATTTCTCACAAGTCACAGGGGTGCTAATTGGCTTTTGTTTTTGTTTGTTTGTTTGTTTTGAGATAGGATCTCACTATGTAGCATTGGCTGAGTCCAATTACAAAGTCTAGTCGAGCTCACTCTGTAGACCTGGCTGGCCTGAACTCAGAGGTCAGTCTGTTTCTGTCTCAGGAGTGCTAGGATAAAAGGCCTTTGCCACCATGACTGGCTTAATACTGTCTTTAAACTGATTACTGAGTTCCACAATTTAAAGATGTCTGGTTAGGAAATACAAACACACTAAAACTTGCCCTCCCCCACACAAATAAAGTTCATTCATTCACAACAAATACCTGGTTACTGTTTTAAAATTGACACCTGTTATTCCAGTATCTGAGCTATTTGATATAATGTTTCTAGCTTTTTAGAGTTTGAGGATTCTGTACACTGCTAAAGAATCAAAGCAAATTTGTTTTCTGAGGTAGGATGTCAGTGTAGCCCAGCCTGGCCATGAGCTCACACTCCTGAAGACAAAGCACTCCTGGGTGCTTGCAACTTGCCTTGCACATGATTCATTTTGTACCATTTAACAGTCTTTGTATAAACACAGTATAATTGGTTATTAAGGGTTGATTTCTTTTGTGGGGGATGGAGATTACACAGGGTTTCTCTGTGTGGCTCAGTGTGGCTCTGGCTGTCCTGGAAGTTGCTTTGTAGACCAGGCTGTCCTCAAACTCAGAGATCCACCTGCTTCTGTTGGGACTAAAGGCGTGCACCACCACTGCCTGACTTAAGGGTTGGTTTCTTAAAGGAAGCTAACTTGTACTTTCAGAATTAAACCATACTAAGAAACTTTTAGTTCCTACTCCTTTTTTAATAGTTTGATGAATGGTAACATTGCTTTGCTATTTATTCTTTAAAACTGCACCTTTTTGTTTGGAAAACTCTTGTATCTAGAATTACCTAATTCAATATATATTACAGATGAGTTGAATCATACTGTCTATTCAAAACTAAGGAGAATGCATTTTCCTTCCTTTAAATTCCATAAATAGCATAGGGTTTTGTTTTTATTTTTTTAACATTCATATCAAATTAGTTAGAAAAGTATACAGATTTTATTTGGATATATTTAACTTGTTAAATGAGACATGATATAATTACAAAAATGTGTTTTATCTGACTAAAAGACTAAACTACTCAAAGTGACTGAAGAGCAGGATGGAAAATGTGAGGCTCTGCTGGACACTCAGGTGCAGGGAGAGACGTTTCTGCCACTCCAACATGTTTCTGAGGAACAGCTCCTTACTGAGTGAGTGCGAGTATTAACCAAGAAGCAGCTCTAAGATCTCTGTGTAGTCACATATCCCTTCACAACCATGATTTATTTAAAATGGACCTATGTATATATTCACCATACAAATGAAAAGTAACTGATAGCTACTTAAAAATGTATTTCTTCATTTATTGGATCTAATTATTTCACTTTAATAAAAGATATAGACATTTAAAATATGCTGTGACTATATGGTTTTCTTAATAAAAAGGGATGATATCCCCCCAAAAGCTGAATAAAAATTCCTGCAAAATGACCACCCACCCTCCTACACTCTCCTTTCAGTGCAAACTACATTGTAGGAACAAAATCTCTATTAGAGAACTCATTTGAGAAATGACTATCCCTGAAGATAGTATACTCTCAGTCTTTAACTACTTAAGAAAAGTCAGTATTGTGTTTAATATAAAGATTTAGCTTTGGGAAAAGAGCCTTCGAAAATTATAACTGAAGTTATCTTCAGTTAACTGGCATTAGGAACACAAAGGTCTATGCATTTTTTCTTGCATTTTTCCCTTGAAGATTGAAACATCACTCTAGCCCTCCCCATGGTTAAATAAACAGTTCCAAGCCTCAGGATAGAACTGAATGGTGTGAACAAGTCTAGTGATAAACCACAGACCAGGTCCTTAATATAGCTGAAGTACACTGTGCCTTTTCCCATTTAAGAAGCACCAAACCTGGAGCCAAGTTTCAAAAGGCAATTTAACAGCAGGAACTATAATTTAATCACATCATATCATATTACACTATGTAACATTATGTATTTTACCTACTGATGTAACACAGTTATGTTTATTACAAGCATCATTTTCTAAGACTTATTGTACAGGTACTCCTTTTCAGGAATTACTGCTTATTTAATAGTGCCTATCTACATTGGAACATTAAATCAGTGATAGGTATATATAATGCAATGCAGTGTGAAATTTCTCCCTAACCCAGATTAAGGTATTATTAACACAAATCAATTAAGAAAACCAACACAACTATAAAAACTGAACTAAGCCTGTCAGCAACCCAGATGCACATCTGAACAGGTCAACAGTGCTTCCCCAAAACATGAAGGTATAGGCTTAGAGTTGGTGTAGCAGCAGCTGGTCTTTAGGACAAGTAAATCAACAGTTTCAAGTGAAAAGTTACTCTGAGAAAACATCAATCCATTCTACTAACAAAAGCAGCAAATGCTGGTGTCATCTGAATGTCAAACTGTGCACTGTTTCTGACTCATTAAGTTCATTTATGTGATAACAAGACTGGAGTTCTTGAGGCGCGCCAGTGAGATGGACTAGTATGTCAGAACCTCTCATTTGTTTTAATATTTAAATGATAACAATATGGAAACTAGGAAAAGGTCAGTGCTGGTGGCTCTAAACCACATGAAATTCAATTTG